TCCAGCAGGAAAAGCTGGAGGCCGGAAAAGAGTGAGACGGGTAGCGCGCAAAAGTAAAAGTGGAACCGAGAGTGGTACGAGAGACAGAACGAGAGCAAGACAGACAGACATTACGAGAGCGAGACAGTTTGTCCCCGTACCACTGGTTGAAAACCACTGCTGTAGATCACTGCCGGTACGTGCGCTGGGAGCGCACCGTTTAAGTTTGAAAGTTGAAAGGTTTGTGTGTCTGAAACGCTATGTGATACAGTACAGTTTACACAGCACATGTTCTGTAGCTACTATTGCACTAAATGGTAACACTTGAATACGTTATGCAAATATGCAACTTGTTTGTTGAAATGTTAATAAATGGGAGCTTCCTCAAACAGCCATCTCTTTCCCGACAATCCCCTCTGTGCACGAACCCTTACATATGGTAATTAAACATTAAAACACCTGCGGCTTATAGTCCAGTGCGGCTTATATATGTACACATCATTCAATTTAGCTGCTGCGGCTTATATTCAGGTGCGCCTTATAGTCCGAAAATTACGGTATGTTCCTCACTTGTTATTGTCATTTTCTATCATAAAGCACTTTGAGCTGCGACAAGCATGAAAGGTGCTATATAAATAAAGTGTATTATTATTATGTTGTGATATTGACACATTTGTATTTCTCTCCAGAGCAAAGATGGTAAGACCCCCCTCCACATGACAGCCATCCACGGGAGGTTTTCTAGGTCTCAAGCTATTATTGAAAATGGTAAGCTCTACGAAAAAAAAAAAAAAAAAGATCTGCCTCGCTGGCTTTATTTCTCACGCTGGACTGAAGGCCGGCTGTGTGCTTACTTTCCTCTCTTTTTTTTCTGAAGGTGCTGAGATTGACTGTGAAGATAAGAAAGGAAACACACCACTGCACATTGCAGCTCGATACGGGCACGAGCTCCTCATCAACACCCTTATCACCAACAGAGCTGACACAGCTAAGTAAGTGAGCCAGTCTGCCCTTTATCAGCAACCTCACAAATCCTACAGTGGTGCATCTTTCCAAAGCATAGATGTAATGTCTGTTGTGTAACTTGTATAGATTATTCTTCACTATGAATAGGCGCTTTCCTACTCTTACTTCAGCAGCATTGATTTTTCAGTTGATGCCGAACAAATTAACATGGGTGTCTTTTTCAGACGAGGGGTTCACGGTATGTTCCCTCTGCACCTGGCCGCTCTCAGTGGATTCTCTGACTGCTGCCGGAAGCTGCTGTCTTCAGGTGAGCAACACTTTATGCATTCAGTGACAAATGACGCAAGGCTCTTGACACGACTTGTGTTTTCAAATATTGAAGAACTGTGCAACATCTGTACCGTTCAACTTCATATGCCGAATCTTTATTTTATAATGCTTTTACTCTTCTGCAGGGTTTGATATTGATACTCCTGATGACTTTGGAAGGACCTGTTTACATGCTGCTGCTGCTGGGGGGTGAGTACAAGACAAATTAATATTAGCCGCTTTCACACCGCAGGACTTGCCGTACTTTAGTGCCGGCACTAAAGTACCACGGCACTGAATCCGCCAGGGGGCTAGTGCCAATCGCATTCACACCGCAGTACTTTCCCTGAGGCAAGATTACGCTGGGTTTACTGGCAGGCCGCAAAACCACTTCACGGCGAGTACAAAAAAAAACGAGAGAAGAAGAACTACACGGGGGAGGGGGTATAAAGCCCACCCGCTGTACATGATATATATATATATATATAATAGGTAGGCTCAGCAGACAGACCGTAGTGCAAAGATAAAGTGTCACATGATTATCTACTAAATAGTGAATTCAGCATCAACTTCACCAAGATGAAGTTCATATCTTCCTAAGATACGTGTTACTTTATGTCCCTACTAGAATCCGAGCTCAAATGACTCAAACCAACTAAATGTCCAAGCAAAGAATCATGTGCACCATGAGGCTGGGTTATAAGGGTGATTTACAAATCAAATACTCCATTATAACAATGGACTTTATCTTTATGTATTTATTATATATTACCCCCTCAGGCTGATTTTGGAAAAGGAAATTAACCGTTGTTTGGTGTTTTTCCCTTATTTATCTAAAACAAATGACATGATAAATGACTTGTGTTTATGTGTGTAAGACTTGTGTTTCTGCCCCTGCCATTGCTGCACAAGGTTGCAACATTGTAGATAGATTCAACCACCGACACCTGTCTGCTCTCACATTCTTCTATTCTGCAAATTTGGGGTGGGACACAATAAATAAAGCTTCGCCAGTTTATTTGTTTTATTGCAGAGTCAAGACATAACAATAACGGCATCACGCCGCTCAAGTAGATTTTGCAAAACATCGCTCAAAACATTTTGAGTTGGGAGCTGCTTTCTGTAGAAGCTGCTGCATCCCGTCCTCAGAGTAAATTGCCAGAAGCGCCGACACTTCCTCATCATTCCACCGCTCCGGTGTTGTAGTACGTGTGGTCATAACTGCTTTAAAGTACAAAAAAACTACTCGCTCAGGTGTGGATGTGGTTTTGTAGCGAGGAAAAGGTTCGTACCACCTCTCTAGCAGGGACTGAAAATGGCCAAAAGAGTTCCCGGCACTGAGTAGTCCCGGCGGTGTGAACGCGGACATTATTGGTACTAACGGAACTAAAGAACCAAAGTACCAGGGAAAGTCCTGCGGTGTGAATGCGGCTATTGTTTTTAATATTATATGTAAGTGTTAAGATGTAGTTCCATGACTTGGTCCATCTTCTTCTTCTTTAACAAAATCATGATTATATCTATCATCTCATCACTTTGTGAACCTCTCTCACCCCTCAGGAACCTGGAATGTCTCAATCTTCTCCTCAACACGGGGGCAGACTTCAACAGAAAGGACAGCTTTGGCAGGTTTGTAGTATTATTATTATTATTATTATTATTATAGTTTTGCACAAAGTTTGAACGCTCATCTTTCCTTGGTCAAATTTGAAGAGGGAACTGAGCTTTGTTTGCTTTTCCAGGACCCCTCTGCACTACGCTGCTGCCAACTGTAACTACCAGTGCCTGTTTGCTCTGGTGGGCTCTGGGGCTAGCGTCAATGACCTAGACGAGCGGAGGTGCTCTCCTCTGCACTACGCCGCTGCCTCTGACACAGATGGAAAGTAAGTAATACTTCACTTTCTTTAAGGAGCGGGTGTCTGTGTGGGAGGCGGGTCAAGTTTATGTTTTTTTTTTAATACTTGCGTTATTGGTGATGCTGAGTAACAGTTGAAGACTTGAAAGAGGATGTTGTTTCCTTGACTACAGCCTCTCTGTTGTGTCTGCAGGTGCCTGGAGTATTTACTGCGAAATGATGCAAATCCAGGGATCCGGGACAATCAGGGCTACAATGCTGTGCACTACGCCTCGGCATATGGACACCGCCTCTGTCTGGAGCTGGTGAGAACTTCACTCCAGAGAGCACCATGCATAACAACCAGCGCCTAATTCTGTGTTGCTATATTGTAATAATGTGCAATGCTTTGCTCCTTGTATCTCTCTTTGTCACAGATTGCAAGTGAAACACCTCTAGATGTGGTGAGTTACATTTGTATAGTTGTACTCGTATGTATTCTGTTCTGCTTTGTGATGGTTATGTAAGATAGATGGATGGATGGATAGATAGATAGGTAGATAGATAGATAGATAGGTAGATAGATGGATGGATAAATAAATAGATAACAATTCAACTGAAAATGAAAAATATGTTGTCAAATATAAACAATAGAAAATATTATATTAGAAAATGTCCAAAATACTACAGGAGCGTACTGTATATACATTGGATGGTATATAATGTACAGATATACAGAACATAAATTGTTCATGGATATTAAAGGAAAGAGAAACTCAAACTGCTCATATAGCAGTGGGTAACTCACTGTCTGACGAAGATCTCTGTTAGATAGAAATATAGATTTTGCTTGGAGCTATCAGTATAGTGTGCGGATGTATTATCTTACGTTCTCCTTCAGAACAGGCCAAAGTGCCGTGCATATCTATAGTACCATTATTTGTACAGCTAGATGATTATATGTGGAGTTTGTTCTAACTTGTGCACCTGGTTTGTTCAGCTAATGGAAACCTCAGGGACGGACATCCTGAACGACTCCGATGTCAGAGCACCAATCAGCCCTCTGCACCTTGCTGTGAGTGGATCCTCCTTATTGTCCTTATTATGGATTTATCCTTAATCTCATATTATTCATGTTAACTTGTTTATTGCGAATTCGTCTTTTAGGCATACCACGGTCACCACCATGCTATGGAGGTTCTGGTGCAGTCTCTGCTGGATCTGGATGTGAGAAACAGCCAAGGGCGCACCCCCTTAGACCTGGCTGCCTTCAAGGGCCATGTGGAGTGCGTGGACGTCCTCATCAACCAGGGAGCCTCCATCCTGGTCAAAGACTTCACTTTGAAGCGAACCCCCATCCATGCAGCAGGTAAGGACTAGGAGTGGCTGACTGAATGAGTTTGTCAACAACTTTCAGATATGCAGTATAAACTAATACATAGGGTAATTATTCACTAGGGTAATGTGTTTTGTTCATTTGTTTTTATTTGTAAAGCCCATAAATGTTACTTTCTGTTCTTGTATTTATCATATTCTATTTACGTGTATATAGACTTATTTGTATTTTAGTATGTTGGACATGTGACATTAAAACCTTTGAATCTTCTGTTTTTAAAGTTGCCTTATAAATAAAGTTCATCATTATTATGACTTTACTAATGGACTGTTTCTGTCTTTCCCCGCAGCTACGAATGGTCATTCAGAATGTTTGCGTTTGCTGATTGGAAATGCTGATCTTCAAAGTGCAGTAGATATTCAAGATGGGAATGGACAGTAAGTGAACGTTTCGTCTGTGATCTTCTTTTTTTCCACCAGTGTTGGAAACTAATTGCTGACATTTTTTCTCTGTTCTCTCTCAGAACCCCCTTGATGCTGTCAGTGCTGAGTGGACACACAGATTGTGTCTATTCTCTACTAAATAAGGGAGCCAAGGTAGAAGCCAAAGATAAGTGGGGCAGGACAGCCCTGCATAGAGGAGTAAGAACATCTTACCATTCTTACATACACAGTTTGTTTTAAACGCTTCTATGATTAAAAGGTCTCCTATCATGCAAAATGCACTTTTTGATGTTTTATATATAAATTAGGGCCGGGACTCGATAAAAAAAATTAATCTAATTAATTAGAGGCGTTGTAATTAATTAATCGAAATTAATCGCATTTTTAATCACATATAAATATTTGACCTGAGAGCAGTGAGAAGCAATTTTTTTCACATGGATTTTAGTATACCATTGAATAATGACTGAATACATAAGCTTAAGCAACAAAACATTGTTTATTTTTTTCAAGGTGGTAATTAACCAAGACCAACAGAAAAGTGCAATTTTTGCCATAAAGTGTAGCAATAGCATATTTAGGAATATAGTACATTTCAGAGATTCAGGTAGGTAAACCTTCTGTAAACTATAACACTTTGTTTTTTAAGTATAACACAATACTTTCAAGTACATTCAGAACATTGGAAACCCTGACTATTAGAAAACATCTCTCTGTTGCTTCAGAGGCCATAACAGACTTTGTTGATTTACCAACAGTTGATTTAAAAAATCTAATAAATTTCAGTCCAACTCTCTCAATAACCTTGGCCAAAACAATAAACAGTTCAACATAAAGTGCCAGTTGCACCAACAACAATAATAGTCAAATAAATAGTTCAACATAAAGTGTACCATTTAAAATAAAATAAAAAAGTGCCAGTGATTGACCTCAATCCCTCCTATTCTTCCAATATCCTGATGAAAAATAAAATCTCTCTGTTGCATAGGCCACTGTTTGATCAACGCGAATTGGGTGTGGGTCCTTGTACTCCGAGTCGTGCTAACGTCCACGCTAGCTTCCACGCTAGCTGCTATATGTTTTGCATTGAAGTGATACTTGAGGCTTGATGTACTGCGGTGATATGCGAATTCCTTTTTGCATAATTTGCAAACAACCGTGCTCTTATTGACGCTTCCATCCGTCCGTTTTTTAAAACAAAATGTCTCACCACAGGGCCAACCAAAGCGGTCTCATCAGCTTCTTCGTTCATGTTTGACAATTGTTCACTGTGGTTTGTTGTTGTCTGAAGTCATGAACGTTAGTTGGTGCTCCAGTATAATCGGTACGCCTGAAACTCATCCAGTGAGAAACGTTCCGCGGTGCAAAAATAAGTGCGATTAAAATGCGTTAATTTTTGTGTAATTAATTAATCTTAATTAACGCGTTAAAGTCCCGGCCCTAATATAAATACGTGTCCCCGGTGTGACAGGGAACTCACAAAGTGTCAGAAAACAAAACCCTCTCTCTTTTCCTCCGTACCCAAATCTCTAAAAACGGGGGTACAACGGAGCTGATCCAGATTTGCTGCCGATGTGACGTAATATCGGAAATGTGGACTGGCTTTACGCCCACAGCCCTATCAGAAACGTTGCTATCAGAAATAATGCGCGACGTGTTTTGGACGCAATATGGTCTTTGTTTACATTAGCAAGCATCGCTAACACTCAGAGCTAACCTGTACTGGAGAGAGTATGTGTAAAGAAGCAGGATGTAAAAACGTACTCACCTTGTGGTAAACCCACAAGAGAAAGAGACACTTCATAGACAGGTTTTTAATATATTTGTATATATCTGAGACCTATAATATAATATGCCTAAAAATAGTATAATAGGAGACCTTTAAGTTTGGTGAAGTTTTTTTGTGTTTTTCTACTTAGCATTCTTTCTCACTATGATTGTTTATATGTTTGAAACTGTGCCTGCCTTTTTGTCTTTGCAAGAAATTAAATTTAAAAATGTTGTCAGCTCTCGTATGTAAGTCGCTTTGGATAAAAGTGTCTAACATACTATGTGAAATGCAGTACCATACAGGATATGAAGAGTCAACGGTAACCCCACTAAGGCGTACTGTTCTCTGTCCACAGGCGGTGACCGGTCATGAAGAAAGTGTGGAGGCCTTGCTTCAGCACAACGCCAGTTTCCTGGTGCGAGACTGTAAAGGGCGCACACCGGTCCACCTGGCAGCGGCGTGTGGACACATTGGGGTACTGGGAGGCCTGCTGCATGCTGCCCAATCAGTGGAAACACTCCCTGTCTTAACAGACAACCAAGGCTACACCCCACTGCACTGGGCCTGCTACAATGGTACAGAGATGAAGGGTTTGACATCCTCCATGGAAAACATTCAATACAGTTATGAATATGTATTTAGCAATGTATGCCTTTTTCAAAAAGAAACAAATTGGTAAAAAGAAGCACTTGACGATGACAGCATACATTTTTCATGTTTGGTCTTCATGTCGTTTTTCATGCAATGTCTTAATGCACTCAAGGCTCAATTCTCACACATGTTGATGAGGACAAATGTTTCAACAGAGCCCTGATTGCAAGCACCTTGTGATAAAGGCTGATGTGGTTAATGTTTTCTTGTGTGCAGGTCACGATACGTGTGTGGAGGTTTTGCTGGAGCAAGAGGTTTTTCACAAGGCTGAAGGCAGCTCTTTCAGCCCCCTCCACTGCGCTGTGTAAGCTCTTGAGCCGTCTTCTTCTTTTTTGATCGGTGCATGCAAAGACATAACCTCCAACGGATGAAGTAATTGTGCTCCTTTTCTCTTTCTTTAGAATCCATGACAACGAAGGGGCTGCTGAGATGCTGATAGACACTCTGGGCCCTGCCATTGTCAATGCCAAAGACAGTAAAAACAGGTATATACACATTCATATAAAGACAAGTACAACTGACTCAACATTTTTGTAACTTTATTTAAAATTCAGCTCAAATAGGATGGCTCTGATAAAAAAACGTACCCTTATTCTGATGTTATTGTTGCAGGACCCCACTGCATGCAGCAGCCTTCACTGACCATGTAGAGTGTCTCCAGCTGCTGCTGAGCCACAACTCTCAGGTCAACAGTGTGGATGCTGTAGGGAAGACCCCGCTCATGATGGCGGCTGAAAATGACCAAGCCAACGCTGTCGGTATGAATGCTTCTCTACCTTAACGCTTTGAATGGAAATCAACTGTCAGGTGTAAAAATCAATGCTGTATTGTGTTACCTTCAATTTGCTTCCATATTTCACTTATAGAGCTGCTGGTGAGCAGTGCGAAAGCAGATCTCACTCTGCAGGATGCTGTGAAGAACACTGCACTTCATCTCGCCTGCAGTAAGGTTCGTATTGCCATATGGTGGCACTGTTCCTACATTCTCCAACAGCAAATATGCTGCATGTTTCTGCACCTAAGTGTTGAATTACCATTGTAAAATTTTATTTACAGCACCATTTTCCGATGTGGTTTGTTTTTTATATTTACCATGATGTTACTGTTTTCTACAGGGACATGAAACCAGTGCCTTGTTGATATTGGAGAAGATTACAGACCGAAACCTCATAAATGCTACTAACGCCGCCTTACAGACGTACGTATCACTTGTTTTGCTTTAGTGTCTTGTCTCTTCTGCATCTGAGCATTGGATTTCACTGGTGCTGTGGGTGTATTACTGTGGGCATTTAAATTATTAATGCAGATTCCAATTGTAAAATATTGACTTTCCTATCAGCACATGCATGTTAAATCCTTTTTCTTTTTTTAGGCCTCTACACGTGGCTGCAAGAAATGGTTTAACTGTGGTGGTCCAAGAGCTTCTTGCAAAGGGAGCCAGTGTACTTGCAGTCGATGAAAACGGTAAATTCACAATGTTATTTTTCTCTTTATCGATGCCATCACCTTTCATATCTGGTTTTTCACATGACATCAGGATCTTGCACCTAAACATAAACACTAATAGACACAGCAGGATCAGAAATGATTGCTTAGCTAGAGCAAAAAAGCCCTTACAAATGTCTATGGTGCTGCTTTTATTATCAAGTTTGGGTAATAACAAGCAATTTAAACATTCTGAGTCAGGTATTATACTGATTTTCAAGATCAGCCTCATAGAAATGTTCAAATTCATGATTTTACGTCATTTAAATCGGAAAATCCCGATAAATAATTGAACAGATGTAACACCAATTCTAGAAACTATGTCTTCCTGTTGGATAATGTATGTGACACTGTCATTGTTTCGCAGGTTACACACCCGCCTTGGCTTGTGCCCCCAACAAAGATGTGGCAGACTGCCTAGCCCTCATCCTGGCCACCATGATGCCTGTGTCCCCCTGCGCCCCGGCCCCCACCCTCCCTTTCAGTGCCATTAACCACTACACAACCAGCCCCTCCAAGAGCATCACCTTCGACAGTCTGCCCACGCTGCGCGACGAGCACAGCTCCTACTGCAGCTTCAACAACATCGGCCATCAAGACGGCCCCTATAAGGAAGAAGAGCTCAATGACTCGGACTCAGAGACGTACTGAGGGACAGGAGGAAACGATAAATGCATAAACACACACACTGTGTCTTAAAAAAAATCACCCACCGCCAGCTTGGGAGGGCAGAAGTAGAAAGAAAAAGCCCCCACAGGAGCCTTAAGAGCCCCCCACCCAACGAGAGAGCAAGAGAGGGAGGAGGTGCAGCAGGCTGGCCCACACTCATCCCGACCTCATGCAGCACCAGGTGTCCTTCAGCTGATACTGGACCTCAGTGACCGCTGCTTTACCAACACTGACTTCTTGAGTGCTAAAACTGTACGTACTTGTTGGGCGGACAGCGACTTTTGTACGGCAATAACATGCTGAAGAGGAATGGTAGCACTTCTCCAAGAGCTAAACTGACAGGGACCAAAAGACATGGATGCATTTTAAACAAGTTTCGACTGTGTAAATGAGATTGTGAAATATTGGGTTTATTGGTTGGGGGGGGATGATGATGATGATGATGATGATGATGATGATGCCAGTTTTCATTTTGGGGATTTCTTGATGCGATGGAGAAGGTTGATGTCTGCACACTACATCCGTCAGAATGCACTTGTCCTTCAAGTCTGTAAGTCATACAGGCGTGGAAAATCATTTATATTTTTTAGATCAAAATTGTAATATACCCATGTCCATGTCTTAAACTCCTTATCCTCTAGGAAGAAAACAAGTCTGACTTACTGACCTTAAAAACATTTGATATGTGCACCAGGTTCTTTTTAAATTGATCAACCATACCTTTGTATATTGACCTGTCCATTGCGGTTTAGTCTTTCAAGAATAAATTATTTGTGTAATTTCAGTTCCTATTTATGTGTTCATTTCGTGCCTTCATTAGTTACTGAGAAAAGGTGAGTTTGTTGAGGCAGCTGTGAAAGTACAGTGATGCGCACTAGGTAGGTAATGAAACATTTTGAAGAATCACTGTACTGAGGTATCTGAGGCTCAGCATTGTGAGAAGAAACACTGTAAAACCAATGACAGGACAGCGTTTGATTTTCTTGTTTGAATGAATTTGCTCTTATATTAGTCAATGTTTGTTGACAGGTTTTGCTTGCTTTAACTTAAAAAAAAAGAACCACTCGATTCAACCATGTTTCAGATCTCCCCATTTCTGTCTGTTTTCCTGTTTAAAAATCCTTTTAACTGGAAATATGTACAATACATTTGCTAGCTTCTTTAGAAAGGAACAGGTGTTTTTCCTCTTTTCCTTGCTTTTTCTCGAAGAGGGATGAATCTAGCATGTATATAGAAATTATAACTGTGAATTCAACTCTCCAATGAATTCTTTCAGTACTGAGATTGCTGTATATTTTATGAGTAATAAAGAAATGAGTTATTTAATAATGAGCATGAGTTTCATTGAGTATTGTGTTGTATTCCTTTCAATAAAAGACACATTGAAAGCAGTTTAACAGACAAGTTTAGTTTTCACAGCAGGAAAAGCACAGATTTAGCTAACATTGCCATGTTTTTCTGGGATACATAATGTTATAAATACCACCTTTTGCTTTTAGTATTTTAGTTTGTCATCAAGTTTGAGGTAAATAAATAAGAAAGACCTATGAGACAAATAATTATCGACAGCTTTTTTCCCAGGCACAGTGTCCATAAGAAATTCACCAAAATGTAACAAATGCATATTTTTCTAAACCGATGTGTGTATTTTAACGATATGAAGTGACTTTGGTAGAGCTGCACTGTAAAACAGGGAATATTTTTTACAATGTCGTTTCGGTGTTGCACTTTGTGGACGGTCCCTGCCCACAAGTCGAAACCGTGAATATCTTGCTTACTTTACTGAATTAGGAAAGGCCTGAACCCACCCTCTATAGAGCAAGTTTGATCAATATAGGCTCTTGGAGGGCATTAAAGCCTCTCTTGTAATTCCAACGACATCTCAAAACCTTTATCTATCATCAAGTGTCTTTTACCATACGAGGGCTTTTGTTTTGAAATGACTTCCGAGAGTGCCGCCCCTCCTCTCGCTCAAAGATTTAGTTCATTTAGTAATTTAAAAAGCAAAAACAAAACATTGCAGTTGTTTTTCTCTTCACTAGTTCAGCCAGACATATGTGTAATGTTATTGTGTGATGTCACGCGTAGTGTCTCCCGTGATTGGCTTACAACCCGGAAGCGTTGCATATTCCACGGGCAGATAGGGGATTGAAGCAAACAAGCAAATAGCCTGTTAATGTTCGTGGTAGTTGCAACAGTTTATGACAGTTCTGGCCTCAGTTCACCTCTGCAGCTACATAAGTAACAGAGTCATAAGTCGTGTCTAACTGAGCAGCAATGGACGAAGTGACAGGAGCTCAGCTTATTGCTGAGTCCCTAAAGGCTCAGGTAAGACAGTTCAAAAATAAATGACTGATTTAGAAAGTTCTAACTTCTTATTGTAAGCTTTCCGTTTACTGAGCAGCGGTTTCTGAACTGAACTTTAACAATGTAACCAAGCGTGAAAAAAGTGTGTCAAAGTTCAAGTGTTGCGCAGTCAAGTCTAAGCATTAACTTTAAATACAAATGCAGTTATTTTCCTTATCACATTTCCTCTTAAAAGTCTTATGTCAGTGTGGTTTTGTTTCTTAATTTCTTCGTGCAGAAAGTGGAGTACATGTTTGGGATAGTCGGTGTTCCTATCATAGAGGTGGCCATGGCTGCTCAGGCTGCAGGGATCAAATATATTGGAATGCGCAACGAACAAGCGGTAAACACTTATTATTCTGCTACACTGCATTTATAATCCTCAACAACACAATCATATTTTAATATACCATAATTTCTGTCACACAACAGGCGTGCTATGCAGCATCTGCCACTGGATACCTTACTGGGAGGTAAGGTAATAGTAACTGAACAGAATCATTGAAGGAGATGGATGTCTCTTAACATGTTGCTGTCTCCTCTGGTTGTTTGTTTCCAGACCAGGTGCCTGTCTGGTGGTGTCTGGACCAGGACTCATTCATGCTCTGGGTGGAATGGCCAATGCTAACGTGAACTGCTGGTATGCCCTCACAAACTGATACTGATTTTATGCAGATTGCAGTGTAAAATGCTTGATATTTATCCTTTCTAATGTGTTTGCTTTGCACAGGCCGGTGGTTGTTATTGGAGGCTCCTCAGATCAAAACCAGGAAACAGCAGGAGCTTTTCAGGAATTTCCTCAGGTAATGCACACTTTTAATGTGGATGTTTGTCCACTGATGCTTCATTGAATTGAAACATTTTATTTTGTATTTGTTGGTAGGTGGAAGCATGTCGCCTTTATAGCAAGTTCTCTGCCAGACCCAGCAGTCTGGAAGCCATCCCTTCAGTGATAGAAAAGGTGACATACCGGCTTAATGTTGCACTGTCTTACATTTGTTTTATTTAGTACCGCAGACTAAGTAAAGTATCTCAAAGTTGGATGATATATTTTTTAATCTGTTTCTTTGCTCATAGGCAGTCCGGACCAGTATGTATGGGCGTCCAGGTGCCTGTTATGTGGATATTGCTGGGGACATGGTCAATGCTAAAGTGGACAGGAGCCAAGTCAGGTAGGCTGTCATTTTTTAGGATTGTTTTTCTGCATAGTATCACTTCTCTGATTACAGATGTGTGTTTGTCGTGCAGAGTTGTATCCTGCTGTCCGTCTCCACCAGTGAGTTTGGCTGACCACAGTGCAATCGCAGAAGCCGTATCTGTCTTGAAAGCAGCTAAAAGACCCTTAATCATCATCGGCAAAGGTTACCTCAAAAGAAACATTCTCCCTCTAGAAACCCCATGTTTTCTATATGACTAGTGAATCAGAGTTGATCTTCAGATAAGTCATGATGACATGAGTGTTGATGCCCAACAGGAGCAGCCTATGGCCGAGCAGAAACGTCTCTGAAGGAGTTTGTGGAAATGAGCGGTCTGCCATTTCTGCCCACCCCCATGGGGAAGGGGGTCCTTCCTGATGATCACCCCAACTGTGTGGCTGCTGCCCGCTCCAGGTCAGCCTCCTTTACCTATAGGAATATGCAGGCATCAAAAAGTTTAAATGCATTCATTTGAGCCAATATTATTATTATCATTCTATATATAAAGGAAAATGTCATTACTTATAAATAAACACATGTATTCCAATGTGTATGTGT